TAGAAGCTACAATTTTAATTGGTTTTGATGAAACGTGATGTGAGCATTGAAATCGATAAGATCTTGGTGATGATTTTCCGAAGAACAATTTTTTGTGTTATTACCCTTGACTGTGTTAAAACATGTAAAAATTTGTTTTTGAGCGTTATGGAAACTACAATTTTCAACCGATTTTGATGAAACTTGGGGTGAGCATTGAAATTGTAAAGATTTTGACTTATTGCTTTTGACTTAAAGTTGATTAGTTTTCTAAGTATTGAATAGAAACTTAACAGATTAAATATGGTTCATGTTGCTCTTTATTGAGTCTAACAAAGCTGCTGTGTGGACGTATGTTTACTTTGTCTAGTAAGCTATCTTACGTTCGAAGAACGCACTGCATTGTTTTGCAAATGACTTTTAACTTTGAATAGATCTGTCACGTGACCTAATTAACATACAACAAAATTTCTTATATATTCTTAGAGTTCATGATCTCTCCTTTTTGGTGCTATATCACACTTGATATTTTGATCAAAATTGCGCTTTTTAAAAATTGAAAATTTAGTACTGACTTCTATAGTAACTGTGCGTAAATTCACAGTGTCTATAATCTACCAACGGTAGATCTCACGATCTAATGATTGTAAACACTTGAAATTTTGAACATTATTTAACAATGTACTCCTCATCACAGACGACATAAAATTTTTGAAGTGGGCGTGGCACATCCTGTGTACCTGAAATATTTGCAAAACTCCCAAAGTTTGCAATTGTCACCTAAAAATTTTGCATGAAAATAATTCACTACTGAAGACAATTTGTGATAAGATTACAGTTGTTTGCGTTCTTTACTTTAAAAAAGGGAATAGGTTTAACAATTTAAAAAAAATTAATTTTTGGACTTTAACATAAATGACCTTGACCTTTGCATGGTCAAAGGTCATTGACTTAGGTTGACCATTCTTACTTTGATCTTGATGTCCGATATATAGTTCCGGTTTTGCAGACTTCAGAAAACAGCAATTTTCGAAACTTCAAAGGCTCATGTTACTTTTATTTGACCTTTGTTGACTTTTTGACCAGAAGAAAAGTTATTGTGCTTGGCAAGATATATTCAAATATATCTTCATTTGTATTGTGCAGTGTTTATTATCAGTTTTACAGCGATTATAAAAATCGACTTTTTACTACTGAATGTTAACGCATTTTACTACCCAATGTTATCAAATGAATGCGTCTTTTCTGTTGAGTGGTTTATCAAATTTGGATTACTGAATGCTAACATTCTTTTTTTCCACTATGACTTTAAAATGCAATGTTTCACCGCTGTGTCAGGTCATGCACGCACTGCATCGGACCCGTCCACGGATCTAGTTTGTTTTTGTAATGTAGTGTATGTTGAAATGTAAAATAAAAGTAACGGTTATAATAATTAATACCAAAAATTTGTGATTTTGAAAAACCGTTACAGCTGGATAGAATAGTGTCTTGTCATCCACAAAACATCGTTTAAAAAAAATGTCTATAAAATAAAAAATAAATAAATAAATCAACAGCCATGCACACTTCCATGACAATGAACATGTTATACAAAGAACACTTCTCAGAGTTTCTTGCTTGCAGTTGGTGAATCACTTTTTCATCTTCCTTGAATCTCCCAGCAACTAAATATCATATTTTTCTGCTTTAACCCATCTGTGGACAAATTTGGGTTCCCCTTTCAGTATGAATTTTCCAATTACATGTATCAAGGTCTACAGAACATATTTCACCATACTGCAAATTCCTTACATTAAACCAAGTACTATAATTAATTTACCTGTGCTTAAATTTCACTCTTAATCCAGTCTAAATTTGGATTATCTGCCCAAATCTTAAGCACAGTGTTATATGTGGAGTGGGATATGAGGGTAAGAATATGACCACTGGATACAATTCCCTACTATTTTGTAGATTTGATTACCTAAACCAATGTAACTGTTGTAAAGTCTTGGTGTATTGGGCTCTTCTAAATTTTTATGATTCCCTCTAAATTTGCTGCCATCTTAAATTTTGTAGACCAAATTCAAATGTGTATTGTTGATTGTGAATGAAAACGTATGTTGAAAACAGATGCATGCCAAATATATGATTTCAAATTACTGGCAATAATGAAACTTGGGATGTTGATTTTGCTGTTTTGATATCCGAATGAATTTAGCAACATCAGAAAGATATATTTTGATACCAAATACAACTACTGGTATATCTCATATGGTATGTTTCATCACAATCTCAACTGCACTTCTTATATGCATTATAGCAGAATTTCACTTCAGGTTCCGGTTTAGCCAAGACTCTTACTGAAAAATGAATCAAAAATGATTTCTATGCAAATTTTTATACGCCCACGTGAAATGGGGTGTTCAATACAGATGACACACAAATCATTTCAAAAAATTTTTTGTACTGGTCCATTTTAGTTGATCCAAATAATGTAGGTACTCTATAGCACAACATATTCAAAATGCATTCAAAACATAATCTGCTATGGAAAAGATAGCGTGCCCACTGGCAGGTTTGATGTTGAAATATTTGGCAGTACAGCAACTATTACCAGTATGAAATATTCAACCTTCAGCCATACACTTCTTTTGAACTTTTTTGGACGATACTGAATAATATTATCAAGTTTTGTCAAAATCCATCAAAAATTGAGCCTTCTAGAGTTTTTGCAGTCTAAAATTTGAACAAACTTTCAAGAACAAAGGCAATAACTCATATTAAGAATTTCACTATTTTTCTGATTTTCAATAGGGTTCATCCTTGGGTGATAACAAGAACTCACACCAAGTTTCGACAAAATCCATCCAGAATTGTGCCATCTAGAGTCTTTATGCGCTCAAAGTTGAACACATTTTTTAAGACCAAGGACAATAACTCATACAAAATATTTTTCTATTCTTCTGTTTTTTGTTAGGGTTCATCCTTGGGTGATAACAAGCACTCACACCAAGTTTTGTCAAAATCTGTCAAGAATTGTTCCTTGTGGAGCCCAAATTCCCAACCTGGGTTGTTTTAACCCCCTGGGGTGAAGGAAAAAAATTGTTTTGAAATATCTTGGAAGAGAGTACCTCACATCATCACATGCTGAAAATGTGAATGAAACAAATTTTTGGGGGTGTGAAAGGTCCAGGTGATTGCTCCTGGGGTATGAAGGCTGAGAAAAGTTGGGATCTCTGTCCTAGAGTGTTTATGAGCAAGGCCAGACATGTGTGATGCCAACATGCGAACCCCATTTCATGTGTTCATTAAAATAGAAGACACACAAACCATTTCACAAAGTTATTTACTGGTCCATTTTTAGTTGATCCAAATAATGTGGATACTCTATAGCACAACACATGGATAAACATTCAAAAAATAATCTGCTAGAGAAAAAACTAAGTAGTCCTAAAGTCCAACATGTTTCAAGAGCACAAAGGCTCCCTAACTCAGGGACAGACACACATGAAATGTCAGTTGAAATTCAATGAAGTTCATTTTCCTTAGCTTAGGCTATTGAAAGATCATCATGCTGTTCTTCTCTAACCCCCCGAAATGTCGCTGCTATCCACTTCAGTTTAATACCTTATTCAGCACAATCTGTGACTACAATACTATCATTATCATGTTACTGCGGTCTGGTGGAAGATTGGTTAATAATTTTTTAGGGGGAGCTGCATTATTTCCGATGAACTCTTTCTGGAATTGCAGAAACCACAGGCATATGACAAGCAATTGGAATGTCCCAAATAGAAGTCAAAGGTGTCCCCGATACTCAAAAAAAATGCTAGAAACCCTCCTTATAATCCCTTTAAGTTTAATTTATTATTGAAAATGAGTGGCCTTTTATATCGTTTGCAGATGTAGCTTACTTTCAGTTGAGAATCAATTAGTAACATAGTTGGATTTTCAACATATTGTCACGGACAATAAGAACATGACTAGTTTTCATGTTTTTTTGCATGCTTATAACTGAAACATAGTTCACAACACAAGGAAAATTAATTTCTGATTCTTAAATATGAAATTTCTGCACAACGAGAAGTTATTGTTGTGTTGCCATTAATCAAGGTATTTTTTGTTATCATTATATTAGATTTTCATTTTTGTAATGTTCTACAGATACATTCTGCTTTATAGTGCTGAGATAGCATTTTGGTCTCCCATTTATATACGCCCACAGGAAATGAGGGTCATATATTAATGTCACCCATGTCCGTCCACAATTGCTTCTAAACACATTAGAAGACACAATTCTTTACTGATTATGACGAAACATGGTATGAGTGTTTGTTATTTTGTTATATCTAACGCGTTCACCTTTTAGCATATAACAACCTAGAAGGTACAATTCTTGACAGATTTTGACGAATACTTGGTGTGAATGTTTGTTATCACTCAAGGATGAACCCTATTGAAAATCAGAAAAATTGAAAAAATGTTTAGTATGAGTTATTGTCCTTGTTCTTGAAAAGCTTTCAATATTTACCTGGTAAACACTCTAGAGGGCACAATTTTTGACGGATTCTGACAAAATTTGGTGAATTTGTTCATTATCACCCATGGATGAACCCTATTGAAGATCAAAAAATGTTTTATTGGTGTTATTGAACTTGTTCTTGTTAACACTCAATTTTTAGCTTGTAAACATTAAAAGG